CAGAGGGGGAAGAGAGGGGGGCTGGAGGAGAAAAGGGGGGAAGGGGGAACCCCCCGGTAGTTCTCGGAGGTTTTCGGAGTGATCTCTCTCACCAGCATCATTCTTTCTCAAGGCATTTGGCGTCGGAACCCCTTCACATCCCCCCCCCCCTCAGCTCTCCCTTCTTCAGCTACTTGAAAACTTCGTCCTTTCCTCTCCCTCTTTTTTTTTTTTTTAATGTTATTCCCCTCCCCTCGATATGTGTATCTACACTCGCTAGTACCGTGGGAAATGACGTTGAACTTTTACCAGTTACACGCGTTTCACAATGCCCCAACTTTGAAAAATTCATTTATCATCGTGTACCCCTCGTAAAAATTTATTTAAAAATATCTGACGATATTTACTGGGATTACTATTTGGATTTAATAATTTAACTTTCAATTTTTTTGGGATTTTGTTATTCAATTCGATACCGATCACGTGGGAATCATTGATTGATTAATTATCGTCGATCTAAATCTGTGTAAAAACTTTAAGCAATCGGAAATAATTAAATAAATAATTTCCTGAGAAACTGATTGACGTCCAATTTTATCTGGTCAATTATTTTTTTTTTTTTGACAAAAATCTCTGGAGTTTTTCCATTGACAAATGGTAATAGAAGAGAATCTCCCCTCTCCCCTTTAGAAGAACAGTTTTGTATATTATATATTATATATTATATTTTTTTGATGAGGATATACTGGGGAAAATGAAGGGGGGATATGACCCGTATTGCTCATGGGGGTCGCGTGCGTAAAATCGTTATATTCACCCACATCTGTGAACTTAAATGAGATGAAACATCCCGCAGGGAATTATTCATGGGAGAGATTAACCAGCAATTCGTCAATTGTGGTTAATTGATGAGGAGAGTCTCAGGAGATGAAGCTGACACACTGAGAGACAACTAAAATGCTGATGACAAAAATGCTGATGGAGAAGTCAATTCCAGAGGCAATCCCCGATTATTTACCCCAGCATCTAATTTCTCTAGATTAAAATCATTTCCACGACCTTGAGGAAAGAGAAATTGATGGGAACCTGGGGTTGAGAAATAACTGGAGAACAAAGAGATTCAGAAGTTATTTTATCGCTGGAGCCAATCGATTCGAGGAAGCAGAACGCCAGGGAATAGAGCATTTCATTTTCCCACTCTATCCTATCACTGATATAAAGACTCACATGAGAAAAATAAATGTAGGAGAGAAAATGATTTATATAAACAGCACCTGGACATCGCCATTGTCTCACATAGAAAATATTTTTGGAGTTTTCTGACAAGAGAAAAATCCTAGGACTTCAATTTGAAGTATGATTTTTTATAAATGTTGATTTATCTGAAGAATGATTTATTCCAGGAGAAAATGTCAAGAGAGATTTTTCGTTGGAGATGTGAAGAACTAGAAAAAAGTCCTCGGGGTTTTTAATGTGAAACTGTTAGTTTTCGGGATAAATTGAATATGAGGGAGACTAGTGAATATATTTTAGGGTAGAAATAAGTTTTGGACAGGACGAGGTACGAGACGCGATGAGAAGGCTTGAGACGCTTCCCCTCGGGGAAGCAACAGGTAACGGCGTCCATTGCGTCACTAAAAACTTGGCTTCAAAGATTTCCAGGAATTAGTGATACTGCACTCAAAGAAAACGTAATTAACGAGAAAATTACCCACAGCAATCTCCGCTTCGATATTTCGACGATAAATAAAGCCCCGACGTGTGAATTACAACTGGAAAAACAACAAAAATAAAAATCACAATCACTTGCTCACAGGATTAATCACGGTTAATTGATGTAATTGGTATCGGCGATTGATATCGATGATTTAAAATGTAATCTCAATGATGCACAAAAGCCAAGCCACGCCACTCTCCAGGCGCTCTCCTCGAATCACGTTAAATGGTTTTCTTGGGCCGATGCCTACAAGGCCCTGGGAGTAAAAACCAATGTTATAACGAGAGAATATAAAAGCTAACGGAGATAACCGAACTCTCACGAAGTATCATTTTTCCTACTGAGAAGCCGGCTTGGTTACTTTGAGATGTACACGTATAATTCGTTGAATACTAATCGTAATCATCATTATCCCAATCACTGCCACTAATCAATCTCTCCCCCAGAAATATCACCACTTTTTTAATCATCAGACATCAACTAATTTATCAATATTTCATTATTCAAATGTACCTCAACCTATGGATTTGGGTTATTACGGATTGATGATGGAATAATTGAATAATATAATTCAAGTTTTATTCACGAGACTTGAGACTTGGCGTTGGGCAAAAATACTGGTGGTATTGGTGGTACTGGTGGTACTGGTGGTACTGGCGATTTGAGGCGTCCTTGAAAACTGAAATTATGCCCTTTGAAAGAAATCTGGTTGGGGTTGAGAGGGGAGGGAGGGGGGGGAGGGTGAGAGTGGTAAGAGTGCTCAGAGAGGGAGGGGGGGCGGTTAAGGGGATGAGGGTAAGGGGGGAGGGTAAAAAGGGGGGAAAGTCCCCTACAAACGGTTTCTTTATTCTTGAGGGAATAGATGCCCTGAAGGTATCGTGCGTTCATGTCTCTGAATTGTTCTTTGTGGAGGGAATATTTGAGGGGAGGGGATAATGGCGGCAATTCTACCTGGGATTTTTTTTTTCTTTTTTTTTTTTGGGAGGGGGAAGTTTACTGGAGCTGACGGGGAGGGGGAAACCACCTGTCGGAAAAACGTTGGAAATTTTACCTGGAGTATGGCGTCCTTTTTACTTGGGGGGTTTTTTTTTTTTTGGAGGGAGATTTGGGGTGGATTTTTCGCACTGCACTTTGTGGGGGGCACTGGGGGGTGGCGACGGGGGGTTTCGGGGGTTTTTGGGGTGCCAGGGGGGAGGGTGGGACTTGGAGATTGTGACGACGCACTAGAGCAACGGCTGCTCGGACAGGACTACAGACGAGAAAACGAGCAACTGGTGGCTGGACAGGGCCGTAGCTTTCCGAGGGTTTGAGGGGGGACTCCGGTGGTTTGGGGGAGGGGGAAAAGGTTTGAAGGATTTTTCGGGGGTTTGGCATGGAAAATTTTTGGATTTTAGGTGCGGGGGGGGGGGGTGAAGATATAATGGGGAAATTCAAGTTTTTGGGGGATTCTAGGGAATTTTTTAATTTGGAGGTGCAGGGCGCAGGGATGGGGACAGAGATTTTGGGAGATTTTGAGATGTTTTGGGTTTTGAGAATTGAAATAATTGAAAAAGGAAAGATTGATTTTTTGAGAGAATGCTAAGGATTTTTGGAAACGTCAAGGTCTGAAGTTTTCGGGTTTGGGGGAAGGATTTTTTGAAAAAGACGAAAGGTCTTCAAAGGAATTTCAGGTTACTGAGAGTTTTGAAAATTAGAGCAGGTGAAGAAGGAAAAAGGAAAAAGGAAAGGAAAGGTTCCATTCTGGAAAATTCGCAAAAAGATAAATCCCAAGGATCTATCCAAGGATCTACTTATTGATGAATTAACGATTGATCTCAGGAATTATTGATTTCAGGTGGAAATGATTAAATCGATAACTATAAAAAAAATATGTCAGCAAATGTGTAAAATTTAAAAAAACAAATGATGGCAAATGAAAAGAAAGAGAAATGATTTCACCTTCCGGAGAACTCAGAGGACTTCTTCGATGGGCGATTAAACAGGAGATAAATCTCTCCTTACATAACTAGAAAATGTTGAGACGAGATGTGGATTGAGGGACGATGAATAATGGAATGGGGTAAGTTTGAGTCCCAAACTTGTAGAAAGAAAGCTGAGGTGTTGAGACAAGGGTCGATACATCCTGAGGGGCCACCAGTTAGAGAATTGGGTCCACAGGTAGAACTTGTTACGTCATTACTACAGAACAGGGGAGACCAAAAAGAATGTCAGGACAGTGTTGCCAGAACCTGCTCTGCGTAAATCATCGGCAGTGTTGCCTGAGGGGGCAACAATGAGGGGAAAAAAAGGTTGAGACAAGAGATCAGTGAAAGATGAACCTCAAAGAACGAGACTGGACTCCGGAATCCACAGGACTCGCCATTTTCTGGGGAAAAATCAAGATTCTCCCTCTAACTTTGATAAATCCTCCACAAATGATAAAATGCTCCCCATTTTGCAAATTCAAATCGATATTTCATCCCTTCACAACTCATTGAATATATTTACTCGAACGATTTTTCAAACGAGACATTGATTTTTCCAGAATTAAATCGATTGATCGAAAAACAACAAAAAACGTGGGGACAACACATCAATTTGAACACAACTTCAGTTTTCGTAAGATATCTCTGAATCCTGAGGAGATAACGAAAATATCATCAGGACCTTATTCATAGGGGGCAATCAGACCTACAATAAAGATCTTTACGAAAATTTCTCTATCTCTTCGAGATTCAAAGATATTCACGCTAAACTATCTGTTCACTAAATCGGCTGGTTTGGTTTTACGCATTACTGAATCAAAATATCCCCAGACAATAAAATCGTGACCATCAGGGAATATTTGGGGGAAATTAATTTTGTAAAATGAATTTGTCCATTGAATATTGTGATTTTTCCTTATTTTTTTGATGAATTTGTCCGCAGATTAATCGTACTCATAAAATAATCATAACGAATTCTGCGGACTGTTCAATTCTTTCTCTTCTCTGAATTCATCAGTCTGATTGATTTCCAATTGAGGATAATAACAAAACGAGAGAGTGAACGACAAAATCAGGGGAGAATGAGAACCGTTGTGGTAACGGCGGGAAGAAGATCCAATCCTCAGTTTTTCGAGATGAGTTCACGTGGCAACAGCCCAGAGATTTCGTTGCCATCATCCAGCGCAGTTGCCAAATCTCGATGTCATCTTCTGAGTTTCTTGTATTCAGTTACGATTGATATATATTTTTGTCTATTGAGTACATGAACCCAATGCTCCAGCGATTTACATAGATACTAATGGTAATTTTATTGTACGTTCTGTCCGTATTTTTGGAGTTTTTCTTTTTGAGGAAGATCTTTCCCCGATCATCTTCTCAAAATCAACAAATTTGAATTTTCTTTTTAGGAAATATCTCCGGGAGATACTCCGTTGCGGGTTAAATGTCTGGGGATAAAATTTTGTTTGTGAAAATTAAACTAGAGATTTATAAGTTGTAAATAGTTTGGGTATTTGCGAGAGCGTGAGTCTCATTCAATTGCTGATAGAGTAGGTTTTTTCCCCCGGAATTGTACACTACTTTCTCTTTACAATTTCCCCCAGACTCTTCAATTGAGCATTTTATCAGCGAGTTGCCAAGATTAAAGGAACGATTCATATGTCTATTTTCCTGGAATATCTCACGAGCGAAATTGTTAAGTGAGATATTCTTTATTGTCGATTTCTCTGGAGAACTGTCGATTTAAAGTGAAAATGTTGTATATCTTTTTTGTAGCTAATTAAATTTCCCACAAAAAAAGTATCTTGTAATTTTCTTGTAAAATCAATAATTCGTCAGATTAAGTGATATTTAAAACCGTTAAATGTCACTCATCTCGTTCTGCCACTTTGCCACTGAAATAATAACTCCGTTAATTGTTTAATTGTATGATAAAATGGACTCACCGATGGGGTCGAGGATTTGTAGCCGTACATTTCAAGGATGTCCTCGTCATCACTGAATAAAACGACGAAAGCCCAGATGTAAGGATACAATAAAAATACTATCAAACATTTTTAAAAACTAATTAATTGTTAATGATCACGTGAAAATCTATTAATCCACTGATCTAAATAATTTGATCTGGAAATTATTGGAGTGTTTACTTCAGGGAAAAATTGTTAGACTTTTTAGCACGTGGACTAGCGAGGATTTTTTAAAGGATACACGAACATTTTCGAGGGTGCAGACGCCGCCAGCATTCCCATCTCACTTTTGGGTCCTTCATCATCAATTTTTATTGTCTGTCCCCTTTTCTTCAACACAGCATTCTCGAATTCGGTGAGGCTTTTCAGAGTTGGATCACTTCCCTCGGTCTCGTGATCATTTGACACTGCATATCCCACCCATTCCTCGACTAGCGTCTCCTCGTCGAGGTTATAGAGATCACACAGGTCGAGACCTGTGACACAATGAAAATAAATTAATTTCCCTCAAAATGTATCCAAAATATTTTCAATACTATTTTGATATTCCAACAATAAATGATATTTCAACTTCGGAAAACAATCGCGAGTGTTGATTTTCCTAGAAGAGTTTTATCAAGAATCCCAGAAAATCTAGGCTAGGATCGGACATTTGACGATCAGAAACGATCGGAGACTCGGAAATACTCAAGTCTCATTTGATCAGAGATGTGGGAGGCATCAAGATCATGAGGAATTAACGAGCGTCCAGTTTTCCTATTTTTCAACACGCAATTACTCTGTTAATTATCAAACATACGACGCGTCATTTCCAGGCCTGTGATGGCGTTCGGCTGCGAAATGCAATTATTGAATTATTTAACGGTTGAATTTACATGATGATCACTTACATTTTAGTAGGACTGGTTTATCCTCGACGGCATACCCCAATTGAGTGAAATGATGTGTCAAAATCTCTTCCTTCACCATTTTGCTGTTGTCGCCATTGACTTCCCGCCAAAACTGCCAACGGATTTGGCTTTCCACGTTTTTCGGTTTAGAGAGAGCGGCGGCGCGCGCACCTGGAAGACAGTGCTGACACCTTTACCGCCATGAAAAGAAACATTTCAAATTTTTTTTTTTCGTCATTTTTTTTTGTCACTATTTTCTATTTATTCCCCCATATCTGAGGCTTTTATCACAATCCACGAACTGAATGTACGTGGGATCAGGTGTTAATTAATGGAAGAATTTGATTTTCAAAAAAAAAAAATAATCGTGACCTTGAATTTCGCTTTGAAAAAAAAAATCAGTTGAAAAAAAAAAATTTCATTTGGTGAATCGTGGCTACGTCCACTGCAACTAGTGATTATTAGTTTTGTTTAATCATATAGACTATTCTTTAAACAATTGAACAAATTTATCAATTTATTTACTATTAGATATCGGTAAAGCCCTAGTGCTTAAAAAAAACAAACAAGATTGTTTTTTTATGCAAAAAGAACTAGGTGAGAGTTGTGAATATTTTTGAAAATTCCCACTCCCACATGGTAATTTTTTAAAAAGTGAAAAAACTTGACCGAGCGCTACATTCCGGCTGGATCATCCCAATGCTGTCTATAACGGTTCAGTTTTTTCTTCGAAAGATATTCTTGAGGAGAGGTGGTTTTTTTTTCAACGCTCAATTTATTTATAATCATGTTAAGTGCAATATTTATCGACCTGTGTTTATAAAATTGAACTTGAGGTAGGGAAAGTTAAGACATGATGGACATTCCCATTTCTTTTAGGGGAATGTTTATCGCTCGGAGATAAATCTATCCAATGGATTTTGCTCTGCTAATTAGAAAGCAGAATGTGCATTTTTTTTAATGAAAAAACATTGTATTATTGAAATTTAATTTATAATTTTTTAAAATGAACTTACCTTTCACAAGGGTATGGTTCAGAGAAGACAATGAGCTTTTTCATAAGCATTCAGATGTTCCAGTCGCGGTGTCACGTATCTAGATAGACTTAATTCATTTCAAAAAGTTTAAACAATTATCTCTCAGTGAGATTCGATTCAATAACACAGAAATGAAAAAATTGGTTTCATCATTTAGAATCATAAAAAATCACGTTCTACCCCCAAAAATGCCACAACAATCCTTCGGGCTGGGGTAAAAGAAAGTTTTTTTTTTTCTGAATTTTTAACAGGTTTGAAGATTTTATTATTGTCTACAAGACAAATATACGGGAACGACAAACCGTCAATGTTACAAAATACCTTCATAGCTCCTCCTGCACGTCCTTATAAAAAAATGCAAGTGCACGTAAAAGCTCCGACCATCCACATGAAAAATAACCCGAAAATGCAGATCGCTGGAAATTCCTCTGAAGAACTTTCAAAGCTTTCATTTTGTCTCGAAGAACGGTCTGTCCTTCTCCGCGAGTTCCACCATGAGATCCACAACATCCGTCCCAGGGAATCTCTCCACCCAGGACTGAATGAACCCCTCGAAGGTGGCATCGTAATTCCTCAGCGTCACCTCGTCATTCTCGACAAATGTGTTGGCCTGCACGAATATCTTCCTGGGCTGCTTGTGAGCAAGAACGATGTCCCTCCAACGCCTCCAGGGCTGTGGCCCACCATCAGGAACCTCAGAGTACTGTTCATACATTTTTCTGGCACTCTCAAAGTCCCCAGTGCTCTTGTAAATCTGTAGTTTCTCCAGGAACTCACCAACCGCTTTCTTCCCCACAGAATTGATTTTCTCCCTGTTCATGGTGAACCTGAGGTTCTTCCCATCGTCGACTTCCTGGACATCGACAAAGCCCTCCCCAGCCTCAATACAAACCCTGAGGAGGACATATCTAGCCTGAGAGTGAGCCTGCAGCCACTTATTCTTCTCTGGACTGTACATCTCCAGAGCTTTAGCACATCCATTCCACAGGAGGGCCAACCAATTGACATAAATAACATCATCAGCATCCTTTCCCTCATGTCCAAAGATCTTGACAATATCCTTCTCCAAAGAGAGATACAGCCCAACAGCCTCAGCCCTGCATTCCTCATACGATGAGCCCATGGCCCCGAATTTTGAATCGTAAGTCTCGCCCTCCAGGAAATACTTATCAATCAATTCCTTTGTCAGAGGATTCTTCAGGGTTTTCTCATCGAAATTGAAGCCCTCCGAGGACTTCCTCAGGAGTTTTCCACTGCCATGACCCAGAAGTTCGTGGAGTCCCACCTGTACCTCCATCGCTGAAATCCTGTGCTGATTGAGAAGTGCCTGATCATCATCAGACAAAAATGGAATGACATCCTGTTTCATATTGGCAGGAATGACGTTCCCCAGGGAGACGTTCTTGAAGCCCTCGCTCTGTCTTATCTCATCGTAATTCGGGATATTGATTCCCGCTGGGATTCCAGAGCCAGCGAACGTCAGGACGTCGAGAGAAGTGAAGTCTGGACGAAGAAAGACATCTTTTTCGAAGCCATGGTCCCAGGGCAGCAGTGGAAGGAAGTCCTGAGCCTTCTCCACGAGATTTGAAAATTTCTTGGACATCTCTTTGTTCACCATAGCGACAAAACCCTCGAATTCCCCTCGCTGTCCAGCTGGATCCCGATAGGTCTCAATGAAGCCGATGTACGTCTCGACGACAGGGCCCTTGTCCTTGATCCAAAAACGAGAGCCATCCTTGTGGTCATTCAGAGAACCAGTCTTAAAGTGGCTGATATATTTATCAAGCATCTGCTTCTCGGTCTCGTTGGCGGCGTGCACCCTGGCCTTCTCCAGGTACTCATTGGTCTTCTCGAGGAGTTTACTGTAGTCTCCTCTCGTCACCTTGAACTTGGCCTCCTTGAAGATGGTCTCGGGGATTGTCAGGACTGGATCGTCCTTCTCCAGATGGGATGCCAGCTTTATCGTGTAGACATTCATCTTCTTCGTTGAATCCTCGGGGCAGTTCTCCGTTTTCTTGAAGCAACGCGTGTTGTAACTCTCCAGGGAGTGGGACTGCATGAACTCGTTGACGAGAGCTGCGTCTGTGTCGTCGCAGTTCGAGGAGAAGTACGTGGTAATTCCATTGTCACCCAGACCCAGGGATTTAACTTTATCGGAGAGCGAGTAAATCCCCTCATTGCATTTATTCCAAATCTTCTCGAGAACTGGTGGATTGTCCTTGTAGGCCTTCGACGATTTGATTATCTCCAGGAATTTGTCCTTGGGAAGGTTTGGAATGATTTTGGAATCACCGAAGGACTTGTAGTTTCCAGTGTTGGAGAGGACACCACAGGCGTACACTAGAAAAGCTGTGAAATCCTCTGGACTCACTCCAGATTCAAGAGCACTCTTCTTCAGGGACTCTATGGATCCACCCAGGAAGATCTTGTGCAGAAGGGCGAATATTAGAGGTGACTCTGGAGATGTCTGCACGAAGACTATCAAACCCCCTGTCCAGGCAGCTCTACTCAAATAATGAGAGTACAGTTTTTCGGCTTTCGTCAGGGCATTGAACGCCACGTCGCACTCCAGGGCGACAATCGGCTGAGTGTTAGGCAGTGTGTACAGGGAAATATTGTCACTCATCGTGCTGAATGATTTAACAAACTGCCTGCAAGAAAAACAAATTGTTTCAAACAGAAAATAACCTGGAATATTTACGCCCAATAATTCAGGAGAGAAATATCTGAAATGTCTGATTGAATCAATAATCTTTAAAATCGACAGCGCTAATTAATCATATCGAATCTTTTGTCATTTAATTAATTAATTACCCCCAATTGAGATTGTTGTGACTATAAAATATCAGGTGATCACGATATAAATGTCGCGACGTCTTTGGAGTTGAAATTGTAATCGATGGAGTTAAACTAGATGTCTGGATTTTCCAGGTATTCATTAACCATCGACGACTGATGATTTTCATCATCTCAATGAACTGATAAAAATTATCAACTGATAAAAAAACGTGATTCAGCCACTGGTTGTGGTTATGATCGTTACGATACAGGAGTTGACATTTCTACCCATCAGCGAGGGGCAAATTTGTTTCAAGTCTCTACGTCTAGTCTCGAGGTAAAAAATTAATTGAATTTTCAGATTGACATCGACTTACCGATAAGATCCTGGCAACTCTGTCAGTCAATTCTTTTTTTCAGGGGATAATATTTATAGCCGTCAAAAGCCACAGATATTGCTGACGTGTAATGGTTGAGGGATGAGTCAGGAAAACAGGATGAGGTTATATGATCTTTATGTGCAATCGTTTATGTATGTGTGACTGATGTGCAGGTTCAGATATTTCACGTAAAAATTTATTGCCACTTCATCGGCGACGAATGTTACAGAAGAGATGAAAATAATTGTAAGAACCTGTTGAAAAGATACAAAAGTTTATTATTTATTCAGGTTTTTACAGTTTATTTATACTATTATCATTATATTATTCAATTTTTTAACGATTTATAATCATTTCATGGGATTTCAAATTATTTTATTTTCTGCAACCGCAATGAGAGCCTTTAGCTCAAATCGAATTGCAGATAAATGTCTCAGAAAAGAGGAGAGATGAGTGGAATTTATAAATTAGTTGGTCTCGAGTCATTAGAGTAACATTTAATTTTTAATTTAACATAATTCTGCAATTAAGTGGAAAAGGTGTGACCTCTTCGATGGGTTTTTAGAAGATATCTCCGAAATGAAAACAGATAGATAAATTCACAAAAATCTTTTTTGCAGATCTAATTGACAGCTGCAAAAAAGATTATTACAAAAATTTGGTTATCTCCTCAAATTCCGGAGATATTTTGGAAAAACTATGATAAGTCGACTCAACTCGATTAGCACATGAATGCAGATTTGATAAATTAAATAGTCATATTATAATTAACAGTTACCACCACAAAATTATCAAAATTCGCGGACTTTATTCCTTGACATCTCCAATTCCATCAGGAAGAATGGCGAACATAGCTTCACTCTCTGGGAGACATGGTGAATCATAAATTTTGCATATTCTAGTCTCTCCCCTGCCCTTCCTGAGGTAGAGCCTCGTGGTGCTGGCATGTGCAATGATATTTCCACCGATAGGTTTTTTCTGATCTCCCCCAAACATACTGGCAGCTCCATCGACTTGTGCCACTACTTGATTAGTGATGACAACAGCCACGCCATGTTCATCAGCAATTCTCAGGAGCATCCTGAGGAATCTAGCTAGATGCATCTGTCTTGCAGAGAGTTCCCCTCGTCCTGAAAAATCAGTTCTGTAAAGTGCCATTGCACTGTCAACAATCAGAAGTGCATAACGAGACTCTGTCATCATGGCACTGGCCTGAATGAGCAATTGGCTCTGATGATCTGTGTTGTAGGCACGCGCGCATGCCACGTTGTCCAGGACATTTTCCCCTGGGATATTGTACTTCTGGGCAATAGCACTGAGTCTCTCGGGCCTGAAGGTCCCCTCGGTGTCGATGTACAGACATTTTCCTTCAGCTCCACCCATTTCAATTGGCAATTGACAGTTTACAGCGAGACTGTGGACCAATTGAGTTTTTCCTGTCCTAAATTCACCGAAGATCTCGGTGATGGATCCTGTCTCGATTCCACCACCCAGGAGCCGATCTAGCTCGGTTGAACCTGTTGAAATGTACACGATGTTTTGACGAACTAGATTCAACTCTGTAGCACTCTTGAAACCCATGACGACTAGTTTAGAAGCTTCCTGCAGGATTTTGTCGGCTTTTGCCTCGCTGATTCCTTTGATTGCCAGGAGGGCCTTCTTCGGGGAGTAGGCCACTGACTCAACGGTGTAATAACCGGCTTCCTTCAGCTTTGCGATGTCACCTGATGTTATTCCAGCACCCTGAGGACGATAATTCGATTTTTAAAGGGGAAAAATATCAACTTTTTCATTAATCATCGAATTATCTCGTCAACCATCAATGTTAGGAGGAAAATTGGAAGGAAGTTTTTTGTAGTCCATCAAATTTATCATAAAAAACGTCTTCTAACATTTCTTTGTAAAATAAGTCGTTTTTCGATTATCGTTGTTACTACAAGAAGACTAATCAGTCATGTGTGAATTCTAGTTTTTTGGAAATGTAATTTTCATTCTGAATTAGAAATGAAAAAGGTTATCATCCCGCCAAAATAGAGGACCTCGATTTCTGTTACTTTACCTCCAGTGATGTAATGAGCTTCGCCTGGAGATGAGAAACATCCGCTGTTTCATCAGCCAGAGATTCTGTAGCTGTTGTAGCGACGGCAGACATTTCCACGATTTTCTTCACTTCAACTTTATTTTCAAAATGATCGTTTATCCCTCAGGCTTCTGCACTAAAGAAGATTCAAATGCTCTTTGTTGAAGAATCAAGTCTCAACACGTTGTTTTGCTTTGGCCTTTGAATGGCTGACAGTATTGCCATCTATTCGAAAAATTCTTAACTGCCGCAACAGACAGCGGTTGCGGAACTAAGTTGGAAGCTGTACGCGCGGATAACGCAGGGCACGAGGAGGAGAGTGTCGATATTTCACTTATAGTGAAGTCGATTTGAGCGATTTTTTTTTCGATTTAGAAAAACTCGATTTTCTCGCGTTCTATGCGTCCTAGCGCAAAAATACGCCCAGATTCG